AATTATATTAAATAGCATCTTAGAATGATTATGTATGTGTAGAGTTGATCTGCTGATCATATGACTCAATGGCCTAAACGATGGGTAAGTAACACATTGTATGCATGTTCGAATCTAACTTTCATCTTTACACATTTTCATTTAGACTAGTCCGAACTCGTCCACTACACAAGACTACAACTTGTTCTATGTGGTGTCGCTGTTACCCGTCCTGACTAATCTTTTTCTCAAAAAGTCCTCCTACAGGACTAGTCCACCTATTAGTGATTCTTACTAGTCCTAGACGGGTCTTTTTAGTGAAACAGACTACACATGTCAGAGCCAATGACGTCCATCAGTAACATAGTCTGGACGGGTATTATGGACGACAACTTTTTCCAGACTAGTCATGGTATAGTCCGATTTGAGAAAAAGACTATACAGGACGTCCCGTCAGGACTAGATATGAGACTAGTCTTTTTACCCGTCCTTTGCTCGCCTGGGATATTACAGAGAAATCAAATGACATTGTAGGTAATAAATCATAAAAAAAAAATAAGACTTGTTTTAGTAACATATGTATCAGTAGAAAATCAATTTATAAATGAACTATTTAATCACAAATGAAAATAATAGAAAAGAAAAAAGTACTGAATATCTTCTTACCAAGGTAACACTGCATAAACACTTTTTTTTTGAACTCTTTCGTTAGTTAATCATAATACTTGTCTGTTTTCTTCATATATCGATTTATTAATTTTGATTTTTTTTCGAATTTTTTAAAACAAATAAAGTTTATAAATAGAAAAATAACCCAACACTTAATCTGTTACTTATAAGTAAATCAGTTCTAAGAGCAGTTGTCTAATAAAAACAAATGATGTATATTTATAAGTAGACAAGTGATAAAAACTTAGAATAAATAAATCTTCAACATGTTTATTAGTTATAAACAAGATATGTATGCCTTTTTTTCTATTAATTGGATAATGAAACTATGGATATATGCTGCATAGAGTAGGACTATTATGAACATTCAGTCAAAATAGCTGAAAAACTTAAACTTTATTCTATATATGTTTACTTATTCTGGAAAAAACATCTGGATTCTCTTTTTGACGCAAAAGTAATCAGAATAGAAGAACGCAATTGTTATACCCTTCCTATTATTTCAATTCAAAAAAAAAGAACAAGTGCATATATGCCCCCTTTTCATTTTCATACCTCTCTTTATATTGCAAGAAAAAAAGATACCATAGAATAAAGCGAAAGAATGCTGATAAACATTATATTATGATGCCATAGAAGAACAAAGAACATTCTTGTGTCAGGATATGTTTCTCTTCACACAATAGTAATTAATAAAAAAAAAAAATTTATTAATCATAATAACCACAATGCTTTCAGAATAGACTCTATTTAGGATGAAAATGCGTATTTGGAGATACATCAATAGAACACCAACAACACTTACACGCTTAGAATTTTATAAATATCAACTAATTCTAGATAAATATCATTACATTCATTTTTTGTTGGAATTCGATTAGAAACTAATTCAAATAGAATTTTTGAAATTATTTTCTAATTCACATTAAAAAAAATTTTCTAAAATTCTTTGATACTTCATTCTTTCCAATATTGATTATTATCACTAAGAAATGTTCGAATAAATAGACATGAAGCATTTGTAAATTTATCGGATCGTTTTTCATATTTAGAACGAATTACTTCATGTTTCAATATCATATAATAAAACTCTACTGATTAATCTTATTTGTTTTTTTTTTGACTTTTAAATAATTTCCATATATTTATTTCGGATGTCATTGAACAAAAAAATAATTTACCTATTATTTGAGATAGCACATTCACTTTTATTTATTTATTTATTTATTTTTGGAGTGAGGTGATTTTCATACTAGCTGAACACATTCGATCAGATCTTTTGTTGATATGTTGCAGATCGTGAGTTGAACTATAATTTCGCTTCCTCCAAGGTCATCCCTCGATTCAACAATATCGAGGAATAACCTTGAGAGAAAAAACAACGCTGAAATCATGATCTACAAAGTGACCACAAAATGTCTGATCAAATATGTTATCCCTAGTTGTTATTCAATAGAATTTTTATTTCACAAAATGAATTATTTTATTCTTGCTGGGAAATGTGTTTTTTTTTCTGAATTATGTATTAAAAAACAACGGTTCTATTGACTTATTGATATCATCTAGAAATTGCAAGAAAATATTCCTTTGACAAATGCCATAGGCTATGATGATGAAGAAAACTATATTTATTAAATAAGAGCAAGTTAACATAAAATGACGCTACAAAAACAATGAAATTATCTTCTCTTGCTTTATGTTTTCATTAAAAAAAAATGGAAACAACAATAAATCTACTGAAATGCTTAGCAAAATTTGATAATTTAGTTTAGTAATTTCCTTGGAAAATATTGTTTTTCTTCTTCTTTTAATATCTTCAAGCTTTTGTTTTTGATGAATAATATCTCTTCGAACGTTTCATTTTTACGAAAGATATCAACAAACAGGAATGTTCTGAGCGCAGGAGAAAGGTTTGAGAAGCCGCCCATCCTTCAATCTTGAGAATTTTCGATCAGGAAAGTTTTTTAATGAAAAAAAAATAAAGATTTTCAATTGAGATTAGCTGTACACATATCAAAAAGTTTGGTTTGTATACAGTAGTTCACAGTAAAAATAGATTGACATGGTCGGCAAAGAACAGAACACAATGATTAGTTACAATCGAATGAAACTACTAATACTCCCTATTCATTCTTTTCATATGAACTGAATATGCTGTCAGAAATCTAAAATGGGACAATTTTTATGTTTCGTAACAAAATAGAATAAAACAAAAAGATGAATGAAAAAAAAAAGCAAAACTGAGACAAATTCAATTAATTAATTGTTTTAAATAAAATTTTTTTTTATTTGAGAATAAGTAATTCATATTGATTGAAGTATGTGAATTTTTTTTTTTCTTTTGGAATTTGTACAACAGAATATTTCAAATTTATATTTTGAACATCTTTTCTTTTCATTTGCTTATTTAATATCGAAATTTCACTCTTTTTAAGATTTTATTATATAAATGTAAGTAAGGATAAAAAAAACACGTATATTTATTATCTAAAAAGTATGTTCTTACTCAAATATGATTCTTTATTTTTTCTTTCTTTTCTTCGATTTCGTCATTTGTGCTAGGTAATAAACGATGTTGTATTCCTACACTCATTTTTTTTTCATTTGTTCTCTTCTCATTTATTGTTGGTTTATCTTTTTTACACATGTATTTCTCCTCTAAAATTTTTATCTGTTATCTACATGCATTTATAAATTTTATTGAAATATTTTTGAAGAAATTATTAACAAGATTAACCTTGTCTTATTAAATAGTCGACAACTATTTTCATGAGGGTTTTAAAATGCTATTTTATTTGTTATTTTATAATTTTAAAAAAAGAACTGAAAGCTTCGTTTTTCTAGATGAATTTAAATATTTTATGTAAGAATATTTTAAAGTTCGAATCATTGTAAAAGAAAAATAGCTTAAAACATTAAAACGATATATTTATTTGATTTACTGAATCATTATTGATTGATTAGTCAGTCAATAAACAAAACCATTGTTCACTTTTATCAATAATTGCAATGTGCCATAAAAATAAGATAAGAAAAAATTGTGACGTGAGAAAGATATAAAATCTATATAGATTCAATTCTCTTGTGTTTGTTTCAGTACGATCACAAGAAGAATTTTATCCAAAAAAAAAAATTCAGAATATAGTTCATGTTCTAAAAAAAAGGAAAATTATAATAAGAAATATATTTTTAAAAATGAAATATATTCTGTTTGGTTTGCTTGAATAGGTGTGAGTGTACATGTGAAAGATGCAAGTGAAGCTCTACTTCTCATGAGCACTAACACCCACTTGCTTCTACTGTTCTCATCATCGATCCTTTTCCAACTTTCAGTATAGACACTCCACACATCGAACGGATATTCTCTACGACAACTGAAAGAAATTATTTCTGTTGAATTCACATTAAGAGAGTACGTCTTGGTTTTCCTGGCACAATTTTTTCTCACCAGTCAGTAGCGGACCTCGGGTTTTTATATTTGAGATGATTCGATAAGGTGGGGAATGATGATCATGAAACGTGTTTTGAAGCTCATCATAAGTACTATCAGCTCATTTGTAAGCCTTTTTTGCTAGAAAAAACAGAAAAATATTTCGGAAGGAAAAGGGGACAGGGTTGATCACTCCCAGTACCACTTTAAATTCACCATTGTCTCTACCATCGCCACTCACACCTCTAGAATATACAGCAAATCGAAGATTTTTGATTGATCTGCACATTCGATTTTATATATTCGCTTGGCCAGAATCATCGATCCATCATTCGTTTGTGTCCGATACCGATAATTTGTTGAGTTCTGCATTCATTTATGGAATTCTGTTTGATGTTCAATAATCTTGTTGTATCATTTATTGCATCACGGTGACAGCTTTAGAATTGGTAGAACTCAGTCAAAATTGTAGAATCTTGGAATGGAGTCCAGTCTCTTTTATGTTGCACTTGATGACATATATCAGTATAAATATGCAGAGAAAAGTATAACGAAATGACATCAAAACGAAAGTTCCAGTAATAATGCTTCGTCAATGTCAATACGCTGATGCGCTCAATCTTTTATCCTCATTTCGATAGTAATTTAATACCTCAAAATTGATACTAATACTCAATACGTAGTTTGGCATCGATAGATGCTTCGTCAGCGCTGGCAATTGATATTCGTAGGTAGAACAAGCTATAAAAAGCCCTCTTCACTGATAGATCAAAATGATATTTGCAGTGCCAGAATGAAGTGTTTGATCGTTCTCTACTTCACTTTTATCAGTGTCTGTTAGTAGATTGTGTTGATGAAAGAAAAATATCAATAGGTTGACATTTGTACAGCGTATGATCTTCTATTCAGCGGTGATTCAGAAATGGCCTGGAGTGCGTTGAAAGCGATCTGGGGTCTAAATCCATTGAGCAAAGAATATTTTGTTGACCAACCTCGTACAATTGCCGAAGCAACAAAACATGATTTCAGTCCTATTGACGGTCAATGCGAAGGTACATTATGAGTAGTTATGCGCAAATATTGTAATAGAAATTTTTTTCATAGGAAACCTTCTTGGGCATCGTTACATGAAACATGAAGACGATGGTGTCATTCTGATCTATGATAAACAGGGCAGCATTCCTGGAATTCAGGTGGCGGTGAGTTAGTGTCTGATTTTGAAATTTCTCACGAATAAGTCTCTGATGTTTCCTAACAGATTCCGGCGCGAATGATCACCGACAAGTGGTACGAGGATGGGTGGTGGGTGTTGGTAAAGTTGAAGAGGTCAGAAAGTTACACTCCCAGAACCCTGAGTCACACCTCACATCTACATCTCTTACTCTAGATAATAGCCGTTATGTTTTACAAATTAGTGGTGATGGCTAAAACTAGTTCATTACCATACTTTTACGAAAGTGACATAGAATTAAGTCTTATATTACTTCTGGAATATTGTAATTAAAAAGGTTTTGCCACTGGATCAAGAAGAGGCACATGGTAAATTGTTATTTATAAATTATAGCTGACAAAAAGCAGCCCATAAAGTCTTCGAAAATATTCAACAAAAAAATTGTGCGAAAGTCGATGTATTGTTTATTTTTTCGAATGGGATTAAACGTCCAACATTTTTCAACTGTTTTGTAAAAAATTATTAGCCGTTTTTTATTTAGACTTTTACCCAAAGTGACATGTCCGTCTACAGCAGTACAGTTCTATATGTAGTCGTTACATTGTTTCGAAACACATATACACGTACAGAAATAAATTTGAAGTCGAATTAAGATCTCACACATCTCTTCATCATTGAACAATTACTTCTTGTATTTAGCTAGGGTAAAAGTATTCCATCTTCAGAAAATCATTCATAGCGAATATTCGAATCTCTCTGATTCATTAAACCATTCCGAGCACCTATCGAACGACTCAAATACATACAATAAAACGAGCACCCGATCTGCTTTCACATGAATCAGTAATTTGATCATCACGTTTTGTCTTAACCAAATGTCATTTAGATAAGACATCGATTGTAAAATATATAAAATGCATTTATTTCTTTGTGTCTTTACACAAAACTATGTTACACTATGCCTCACTCTTCGTCCTTCTCTGTTGCATTAGTGTCTCGCTTAGTACAAATAAAATAAATAATTCAATTGTTCAATCAACCAATGATGCTCTTAGTTATCTCAACAAATTTGGCTATAATCCATGTACTAATTCGACTGGTTTATATTGCTCCTTCGACTTGAGGAGTGTTTTGAAAGTTTTTCAAAAACGATTTCATTTAAAAGTCACCGGCGTTTTGGACGATGCTACCAAACAAGAAATGAGTCGATCACGCTGTGGTAATAAGGACCCACCGCTCAGTTTCTCAACAAATACTGCTGGATCATTAGGACTAAAATGGTCACGTTCAACATTGACTTGGTCTCTGAGAAACTATTCACCACGTATTGGTGCAGCAGAGTCACGAAGTATCATTCAGCAAGCATTCGATGCTTGGTCTCAACATATCCCATTGGATGTCAAGCAAGTCTGTTCGACATGTCCAGCGAATATTGTCATTGATTTTGGTTATAGAGATCACGGTGACGGTTACCATTTCGATGGACAGGGTGGAACATTGGCACATGCCTATTATCCTGAAGATGGTCGAATACATTTCGACATGGATGAGCCATGGACAAATAGGTAAGTCCCTTTTGTGTGGATCGATCGTTTTAGTGAAAATATCTGTTCTTTTTCCGGACAGTTATGCTGGAGACAACATCAATCTCTATATCGTTGCTGTTCACGAGATTGGACATGTTCTCGGCGTAGAGCATCAATTTGAACAAACTTCGATAATGTATCCCAGGTATCAGCTAATAAGAAAAACAAATATTTTGCCGCAGTTCGATCGAATTATAATTCAGCAAAAGTATGGATGGACCTCTAAAACAACTAAATCAGTTACAACGAAGAAAACAACTAAATTGACACACATAATAAAAAATACTCCGCCGACACACATAACAAAAACCACGACCAAAATAAGAACGACCACTCGATCCACTAAGACTTCTTCATCAATAAACAAGTTCTCTTGTCAGCAATTCATCGATGCAGGATTCGATTTTCCAGACAAAACATTTCATGCGTTGGATACCGGAATGCTTAGGCGCTATTTAACCAATAAGAAAAAGTGGGACACACATGTTACACCCTACGAACGTATTTACCATCGTTTACCGAATCGAATATCTGGCGGTACTTACGATTTCGTCACTCACGAGATTCTCATTTTTACTAGTGCACGCGTTTATCGATACAAAATTCAGCCAAGTTCCTATCAAATTAAGTATCACCGTGATGATCCTCTGCCAGTTCATTTACAAAGTGTAATTGTCGGTGCCATTTACTATCAGGATGGAGTTCATGTTATTAAAGTGAACAGCTTACAATCATTCGACATAGAGCATTTGCAGAGAAAATCAACCGAAAGAAAACTCAGCAAAGAATTTCCGGGCTTGTCTGGTTCGATTAGAGCGGCGTTCACGTCTGGTTATATGCATTATTTCTTCACCCGTGATCGACTAGTCTATGTATGGGATGAACAATTCAATCAATGGAAAATATTCGCTAAGCCGATGTCAAAAAATTGGTTTGGATGTATGTAAAAAAAGTGACACGACGAAAAAGAAAATTAAATTGTCTATTCTACAAGAACAATGAATCGAAAATATGGGATGCAACAAGACAATGTTCTTTTTTTCTCATTCGCTTACATCGATATCAGTCCACACGAAGTCGAGTGAATGATAAAAAGAGTAGAAGAATAAAAGAAATGATTAGTAATCTCTCAGGGCTTATAAAGAACAGCATTCATTTTCACACTTTTTAGGAGTAGAAGTATCCTCCTCTTTTCATAAAAACTATAATTTTGATGTCAATAGATCTCTTCAGATCGAAGTTTGACGCAAAACGAATTCTGACGAAGTTCTAATATGATTTCAATAAGTAGACAGAGAGTGATAAGCACAGCTGCCTAAAATATCGATTTTCTGCTCTTTTTGTAGTTTTAATGGAGCGTTGGAAAAGTTGTATAAGTCAGTTTCTTCCGTGGCTAAAAGATATCCGTACCTATACTACAAAGATATATAAAAGAGTCATTTTATGCCGTATTCAATTTTATATCACTTAATTATAATTATGTCAACCTTATATGAACGATAGTATTATATTAATTAGTTAAACACAGTAGACATATACATAATATCAATGAATCTAAATAACACTTCCTTCGAAAATATTCATTAAACATAAAAATTATCTTACACATATTACAAAGGGATCAAACCCCAGTATACATGATAGATGATGAAACATAGAACTTGATTGAGTAATACATGTACTCGTAGAAAATCAATTTATAACTCAATTATTCAATTACGACTGAAAATAATAGGACAAGAGTATGGAAAGTCTTTTTTTTTAACTAAAGTAAAATAGTATAAGCACATTTGTTTTTTGAAAATTTTCTTTAGTCAACCATAATACTTAATTGTCTTCTTTGTATATCGATATTTCTTTTGATTTTTTTAGCAGTTAAAAAGAACTTCGAGTATATTTTAAACGAATAAATTTATTTAGAAGGTGACTCAAAACTTTACTCTTAAAATACAAAAATCCTTAACACGTCTATTAGTAATTTAATACAACGAGAAAGTCATTTATCAGAAAATGTATACCTTTTTTTTCTATCAACTACATCATGTTGTGTGCTAATTACAAAGTACTTGGAGTATATAAGAAATGCTATTTCGTTAACAATTTACAGAAACTTGTGACATCATAGCCTCTTAAATGAACCTAGTCAAGTATTTCTTGATTTAAGAAGATTTTCTGCAAGTTGCAAATCTCCAACGTCTGTCATCCACATAATTGACATCAACACTAGCGACCTAAATTTTAAGATTTTTTTACTAAGACTTCTGACTAACGCTTTCTTTTACTGTGTATTTATGGTTGCGATAGAAAATAACAAAAAAACGTGGTATCACTTGGTTGTTTCTCTTTTTTCTGTCGCTTATTCTCTCATTGGACAGATAACAATGACGTGGCAAGAACACGCTCGAGCTCTCTATCGTTATCGCTCTACACATATAAATATCACTATTTATTCATATACGACACGTTGTCGTTGCACATTCTTTCTTTTTTTCTTCATACACAAACACGCACATTCAAATGTCGACATACAGACTATACTATTTCGACGGTCGTGGTCGTGCTGAAATCTCTCGTCTTATTTTGGTTGCTGCTGGACAAGTATTTGAAGATGTACGATATTCCGAGAAAGAATGGCTATCTCATAAGTCAGAAATGCCTCTCGGTCAGATGCCAGTACTTGAAATTGATGGTGTCAAATTACCACAATCAATGACTATTGCTCGATTTCTTGCTCGTCAATTTCATTTGGCAGGCAAAGATAATTGGGAACAAGCAAAAGTCGAAGCCGTTGCTGATACAGCTACAGATCTTCTTAATAAATTCGGACCAATTATTTGGTATGAAAAAGAACCTCAGAAAAAAGAAAGTATAGACAAATTCTTTGCTAACGAATTACCGAAGCATTTATGTAATCTCGAAACCTTGGCCAAAGCCTACAGTGAAGGTGGTTCATTCTTTGTCGGCAATCATCTGACTTTCGCTGATTTGCATGTATACGATGTGCTAGAAAATATTCTAGAAATTGATGCGAATTTATTGGACCAATATCCATGGTTGAAGACTAACCGTCAAGAAGTTGCCAAACATCCGAATATTGCTGCCTATCTCAAAAATCGACCACGAACCGAATTTTAAATGAGCTATCTGGTTGCGACAAATGAACATCATTATTGAAATAGCATTTTTTTTCTGTTTATTCAACTTCATCTTTAGTAACGAGAAATAAAAAAACTGTTTAGCTATATTGAGAGACGTTGCATTTCATCAATTAAGACCAATCATCATCAGATCATAAACGAAGTGAAAAGCATACAATGCAAATAGGGATTATTAATCTGTTCACATGAAGAATTGACAGAAGGTAACTAAGCGTTTATGAGAAGAAAATATTCATTTTTAATCGAAATCATCTGGTGTAATTATTAGTACATGTGTAATGTTAATAACCATAACTCTCCTTGCTCGAACCCACTTGACCTTCAACTGACTTTGATCTAAACATCATCTGTTATCGCTTGTTGCGTTCTCCTTTGAGAATTATCATTGAACACGTAGACAAACACAAAATCTGTTTATAATACTGTTGGTTACGACTATTTTGTACACAGACCGAAACTTTCTATTTCCTGTTGAAATTTTCTAAAATGAATCTCAGTACACTGTTCGCAGTGGAGCATCACTTACGAGTGCCCAGTTTCGTTCATGATCGGTTGTAATTTATACCAGTAGTTTATTTTCTTGTTCAGAATATCTTTTAGTAATATCAAAGAAACCTATCAAAATGGGCTTTTGATACCCATATTGAGAGTCAAATGCCTGTAAGCAGCGGAAACCTAATTATACTTTTGGTTTATCATACTTCCGATAGACTTACTAAATAATTAATATATGGATAAAACTTATCATTTGGATTTACTGATCCTCTTCTAAACTATAACTATGATGTTACTATACTTTAAGAAAATTTATCGGTATATTCTCGTTATATTTGTTCGATCGATAGTATTTCTGATATTCTCACTCACAAGCCCTATTTTCTTTATAGTTTTTTTTTGTAAGGTCTTTCTCTGTCTGAAACTAAAAGCTTAGCTTCAAATCAACCATGATGACTATTCTTGGTTCGCAATTCATTATCGACATGTGTTGGATCTATGATAAACAGGTTGGGTGCCAGCTAACTAAACCAAGCTGGATTGGTGAAAGTGAACCACCAACAACTATTGCTTGCCGAAGTAGATGTTTACCAAAAACTTTGTTTTCTATATTCTTTACATCAAATGGTGCTTTTCTTATATATAGTGTAGGTCAATGCAAGACCATAGATCACAACTATTATATTCAAAACTGTCTGAGGTTGAACACAAAAAAGGTATTAGTATAATGTTGCATGCGCCGTTTCCCATCAGTAAACGGTGAAAAAGTAGTAATATTACGGCAGTAAACTAAGCATATTTTTTCGTACCATTAGACAAAGTAATATGACACCGTATACAGTCATATATATATCGCAATCTCACTTCAGTACAGTCGTGTTTCTGCGTAAAGTATTTATAATGATACACAACTAATTTGCATATCGTATTTTTACCGTAAAAAGGCTGTAGACGAACTGTATCTTTGCACTGGGAAGATCAAACAAAAATGAAACCTCATTGGCTGGTGCTGTTTCCAAGTTAGGATGGCCCCTATTTCGAACATTTGATAAAATAAAATCAAAAATATTTCTTTATCTTTATATTTTTATTTAATGTTGTCAGGTTGTTTAGTCAACCATAAGTAATATTTCTACTTAGCAATATTACACACAAAGTACAGAATAAGAGGCAAAGTAAGAATGAAGCATATCATGGAGAGTCATAAAGATTTATAATTGCACCTGATATGATGGAAATAACAATTGTGACCAATTGAATCAAAATCATTTGAGTTACGTGTTGTGTAAGATTATTTGAGTTTTGATTCTATAATTTGACGCTCACGAGTCTGTTGAAGATTGCGCCAGATAAGGAAGCCTAACACAGTCAAAAGTACTAAAGGTGAGAAAAGACCAAGAATTGCATAAAAATAGATTGAAATATGAGTAAATACGACATTGTTATAGTCGCACACTTCTTCGTTAGATATTACATCGCGAAACACACCAAAAGGAATGCTTACAGTAGTATAGATAGAAGAGCAGTAATAAATAATAATAATCGAGCTCTGTTTAATGTCATCCATTGACGCTTAATAGCTGATCGATATGTTTGCAAATACCGATCGAGTGGAGCCAAATATAAACATAAGAGAGCTAGCACACCACCACCAGTATAAAGAACGGAACTTAATTTATAAAAAGCGCATGATATGCTTCGAAAATTGTGACCCGTTTTAGAAGCAAAAGATTGTGGTAAAATAAGAGAAATGATAGCTAATTGCTCACCTAAGGAGGTTCCAGCTAGAAATGTTGAACTTGGAAGAATGCGATATTTTTTTGTACCAAGAAATGTTTTGATATTTAGTACATTGCCGATCGAACCGATGGTACTAGAGAAGAAACTCACATAGATATAGAGATATTGAGAAATAATTATGAGCGATTCACTCGATATCGAAACTGTATCACGTTGTTTGCTACTTTCTTTCTCATAATGTTGAAATCTTATTCATTAATGCTAAGCATGTTTATATTTTGAATAGAAGAAGAATATTATTTGACAACTTGTAGACAGGAAAGAAATTCAATGTGAGTTATTCTTTGTTTTTACTCCAGAATAAATATTACTTGACATTCATTCACATTATCATAAATTATGTTGAGCTTTAAGTTATTGGTTTGCATATGTGTCAAGAAACGCAAAAGGATAGCATAGTTATTATTAAGTAATTTTTTAAAGTGTTTCTTGGGTTTATATAGTGCCATAGAGTTAATTTGATAAGTCTATTTTTTCAGTTTTATTTGAATGATGATGATGATGAGTTGTAATTAATATTTTCGCGAATTTCATGTCGAAAACAGATGGATGGGTGTGAGTGTAAATGTTTCTGTACATATACGTGCATCAGAGCTTACTTTTTACCCACACTAGTCACTAGTATAGACTCTACTGTGTAAAGTATCTGTTATAGAAATATGACCAATTTGGGGTTCATTGTGTTAAATAATGATTTCAAACAAGAAAACATCAAACTTATAATTACTTCTGAAAAATGTTATATCTTTATTGAAGAAAACAAAGTATAGATATTATTCAACATCAGTTGTACTAAATTCGTAGATGAAAAGCTTTGAAAGAGTTCTTTCTTCGTACTTATTTTTGGTGCATCTTCATAAGACCATACTAGTAAATTGTTTCTCAGTAGAACCAGCAGATTAATTGATACACTCTAGCGTACTGGTTTTCAACGTTCAAGTTAACAATTTCTTATTTATATTGTGGTGCATTTTTATTTTAATCATATACTCATATTCTATCCTGCAAATTGATGCTCTAACAGTGGGGCATATTAATGAATTTACGATTCATATAACGAAATGTTTTGATTTTATACATTGTTTCAGTGAAATAAAAGGCATGCTTGTATTGTGAGATTTTTCGATTGTCGTCACTTGTAACTAGCATTAATCTTAGTAGGAAACAAATAGAACAAAAATCAATTAGGTTGTTTGACGAACTTTGCATTGGACTCTAGTCATCAGAGCGAAATATATTCAATCTGTGCTTGTTGTATGCAACTAATATCAGTTCTTTTGTTTAATTGACCAAATATCAGCTTGAGAACTATTTCACACTGATAGAATATTTTATCCTCAACAACAGATGGCATGATAATTCCGACGATCTTTGATTTGATTACTGGTTCGAACGCTTAGACGCTATAAAAATTCGAATGCTGCATTTTGTGAAATCTCACAGTCAAACTATAGAAATTCATCTTCACTTGATATGACTCTTTGCAAGTCAGAATTCTTATCGTCTACCACATTTTCATGCAATTTTGATAAAATTGACATTTCTTTATTGGTAATTTAGTTTTGCACTTGCCTTTCTTGACTAATGTGTTTATGTATATAAAACAGTGTTTGGGTGTGGGAATAGCGGTGGCTCTAGGTATGGGTGAAGGATGGATTCTATCAGACGTTCCAGAATACTTGCAACATGGTCTATCGTGCATGTACCTCTCTATAGACAGACTATAAAACCTTGAGTTTCTTCTACAATACGATTCGTCGAATTCTCTACAACCATTGTAACAAATTTTATTCAAATTTCTGATAGATTTTGGAAAAACTAAAAAATAACGATGTATGAAACGTCACTATTTTCGATTCTCTTGAGAGTAATAAAAATCTTTGTAATAATTTCTATTCTGTATTTATCTCGACAGGAATAAATCATCAAAATTTGACATTTTTTTAAAGATATACCATTAAATTCTCTAAAGTAATCCAAGTTAAAGATCTTCATCTACAGAGAGAATCATAAGTCATTAACGACAGCTATGCAGTTATTTTGAGGAGCAAAGAATTGAACTCATTGGAGTAAGAAATTTCAGCATCTCATATGTTTTCTTTTTTAGTCTTCTTGAATGGCAATCTATTCGGAAAACTTTGAGAAGATCTTTTACTTCGGTTACTTTCGAGAATTTAATTACATATCTTTCAAACAAAACGTCAGATTTTTATGGTTTATTTTTGTCGAGATAAATACAGAATAGAAATTATTACACAGATTTTTATGATCCTGAAGAGAATCGAAATGGCTGTAGAGAATTCGACGAAGTATATTAGAAAAGAAATTCAAGATTTTATATTTTGTCTGTAGGGATATATATGCAAAATGGATAGTGTTGTAAACATTCTGGCACATCTGATATAAAATTTTTAAAAAATGTTACCCTCTTTTTCTGGCTAATAATAAATGATTTTCAACTATTTGAGACACAGGTGCCAATACTTCACTCTCCGGTGAAACATGTAGATCATCTGCAATAGACACATCTGCTTTCTAAAAGATAGTGCTTGAAGGAATTTATTTATTTGACGTTGCACACATGGAAAAAACGTTGTATGGAAATAACAAAATTTTCTCAATTCGCATTAAAAAAGAACTATTATAATAGCAGATTCATAGACATACATTAGCACTTCATTTCACTTATTTTCATTTTAGCTCTTCTTGTTTTGTTCTGCTGATCGGACTTTTGTCGTTTTTTTTGTTGTTCTATTCCTTAAATAGAAATTAGCAAACTCTTCTTCAATATCTTCCAGTAAAATATCTCTTGTTTCTGGGCAGAAACGGTAGACGAATATTACACCCAATAAGCACAGAACACTAAAAAGATAAAATACTCCATGAATCCCTATTGGAGCTATTAACTCTAACATATAAGACATAAGTGTACCCATTAACCAATTGCTTCCTGTCGCTATTGAAATAGCCTTAGCTCTGACATTAAGAGGGAAAATCTCAGCTACATAAACAAAGACGACTGCTCCCCAAGAAAGTGCATAAAAAGCTACAAAAATAACTGTAAAGACAAGCATTAGTATACCAGAAGTTGTTTTACAATTTACAATTTCTTCACTTGTTGTAGTGTTAGTGATGATTGTTTTAATTACATTGCAACCTGTAGCAAACACTGTTGCTGCCACAAGATGTCCAACTACCATACCTAAGCCAAAAAATATGAGAAGTTTTCGACGACCTAGTCTATCAATTAGAAACAAGGCTGGTATTGTGCTTAGGAGATTCACACCAGACAAAATCAATAATGATACGATTCCCTTTCCGAGAACACTTTCATAAATAATACCACCATATGTAAATATAGGATTAATACCCGTTCCCTGATTTAAAACATGCATTCCTATAGCAATACCAAGTCTTCGAAGCATTTTCTTTGTTGCTAATAGTTCTTTGATTGAAACTTGATCACCTTCTTCTTGTATAGCATCGGCAATAGCATCTAGTTCAGCTCTTACATCGGTTGTTTTACGGATGCGTTTTAAACTTCTCTCGGCCGATACTCGACTCTCTTTTTTAAACAACCATCGAGGAGTTTCCGGACAGAAAAATATGCCGATCATAATCGTGACTGGAGCGATCAAAATAATTCCATTTGACAATCGCCAGCCCCATTTATGATTTTGCAATAAAAAATTTACCACGTTAGCAAGAAATAAACCAGTTACGACTGTCATTTGCATAAAAGCAGAAAGCATTCCACGTAGATTTGTTGGAGCTATTTCTGAAGCATATAATGGACATGCAAATGAAGAACAGCCAACGCCGGTCCCTTCAACAATCCGACCAATTAATATTAAAATCATTATCTTTTTGGAACCACCTGGTGAAAAAATAACCATTGAAGTACCAATGAAAAATAGAATTGATGCTGTGAAAATGATGGCTCGACGTCCAAATTTTTCTGCCACAAATGAAGAAATGAACGCAGCACCAACAAAACATCCGACATTATACAGTAACGTATATAGTACTAAGAATCGTCTGTAATCAGAAGGTAAAGCACCCACAGGAAGATCGCAGACACTTGCATTAGCATATAAGCCAACACAAAAGTCATTTTTAAATGAATTCATAACAACAATGCCACCAGTAACACCTTGATCATAGCCAAAAAACCATCCACCCAACGAAGAAAAGGCCGCTAATAATACTGCAAAATATGGCTTTCCATACTGAACATTTTTATGCTGATGACGAAGAATTTCATTTTCAGGTTCCATCAATCTTGCGTTTGTATCTTGATCAACTTCACTTACAGGTTCTATCGACATTTTTTTTCTATGTTTGATTGTTTACTGCAATCAAGAAATACAAATTTTCTTCAGAATAATTGTATCGGTAGTAATTAAGTAATCAAAAGTGCTTGTGCTCATATCACCTTACATTTTCGCTCGGAAACTACGATAGGTAACTTCATTAACAACAAATTAAGTTTGAAACTTTTTAAAATAAATATATTTAGATGTTTAATTATGAAAGCAAACAAAAGATACATAAGTGATAAAAAAAAGTGATGTCTACTTGTATACTTTACCGTTAGCTTCATTTCTGTATTAGTCGATGTTTGCGAAAGTCACAAATTAATTGTTCATTACCCATCTATAGATCCATATACTATCAAGAACAGTCTCCTAAAGGCGTTTTCTATCGAGAACGTGATATATTTAATTAATTCTCAAATTCTCATCTGTTGCACAAAATTTAGATAAAAATGTCTATTTGCAGAATATATATGGACCTTTATAGTAAATCGCTGTTTTCATCAAATTGTTGACTATGTTATAGGAGCTCCACAATCCTGCAGCTGGCGTATTGACAGTTATGAATTCTTACTCCCGTGACTATGTTCGGAGAATAAGTTGTATTATTTAATATTAAATTAATAAAATGTATAGTGTTCCTACAGTTTGACGTATTTATAGCACTTTTATGGGTCCGTTTTGATTAATAAATTAGATTTGTTACTGAAGAGAATGTTTTTAATATCTAGCAAAATGTCTTATTTGTTCGTTTGGATAATTCTGATACTCAAATGATACATCACAAACTTGATTGATGTTTTCCTTCGAACATGTTTTTGTTAAGTTAGGAACCGCTCGCTTCTTTCGATCTCTCGATCTAATTCTGACTGTAGTTGAATGAGCTCTAAAAATAAAAGAAACTGAAAATTTTTGTATCACTCGCAAATGCAAAACATGATTTCGATGAAGCTTTGGCAATAATCTTTTCTGATCATGATCATGAATAACATTCAGAAAAATTCTCAGCTTGATTCGATCGCGCGAAGCCAAAATCGGTTGTTAGTGAAGGACGCCCTCAAGTCAACATACATGAGCTACAGTTTTTTGCGTTCTAATCATGGAGGACTCAGCTTCTATATTTCCATAATTTCACAATTTTCAAATGTGAAGCGCATGTGATCTGCCCTATTCAGTAACAAAACTACTAGCACATTTGAGTCCAGACTTATTATCTCTACAGATAATCATAACTTGTAGCTTTCCTTCACTTGGATACGATTCATTAATGAGTGACTTCAATTTAAAAATTTAATTTATCAATCATTTCAAAATTATTCAACACTGCATTACCTTCAAATTATGAAGAAACACTATTTAAAAAGTAAATATCTCGGACATCGCTGCTGAAACGTGCGCTATAAAGATATATTCATTACAATTGGAGCGAAGTTTATGACACACACTAACACAATTGCTAATGCGTATTTATTATGTGATAAGATTCACAAAGTAATTTCTATGTTCTGGTAATCCTTTCTAAAATATGTATCATAGTATTTTATGAATAGTTTCAGATCTCATCTTACTTTGAAATAAACAACTAAAATCCTCAAAGATTGATTTCGTTTATTCTTACCGAGCAAATACCGACATAAACGCTTCACCTTCTTGATAATAAAAGCAAACAGTTGCTTCTCAGGTTAACTGATTACTACGGTAAAAGACTCTTATCATGCATCTCTGTCAACAATAGTAATGGATTAGAAAATGTGAATTTTGCGTTCTCTACCGAGAAAATGAAAAATCCTGTATATCAATTAAAGAATTGTCATAGAACATGTCAAGACAAAAATGAACGAAATATGACAGAGAAAAATTCATTTGGCCACTCGCATCGACTCGGAGCTACTCTGAAATGCTGCAGTGGAGCTTTTTCACCATGTAAAATACTGTTAGAGATGAGGCTATGCCTACAAGGCAAGTTACGCCAGACGACACTTAAAAGAAATTTCATACACAATATGGATTTTAAACAAGGCTCCAATTTTTGCAACTAAATCGAAATATTTGAAAATTTTTTTTAAACCATTGACAATCTTTTTACAGATATCTTAGGTTCTTTCGAAACCTTAAAAAAGCTTTATATTTTGTTTCAAATCAAGTTCAACCTATTACCTTTTTTCTAGTGAAAGATCGAAAATGTGTGTGGACTTGAGCGGATATATTTCCAAGCCAGTGCGACATCTTATCCAAATATTTAGTTTGCATTTTTAAAATGAATATCACAAAAACAGAAATCAGTTTTTAAAAAGAAAGACAAAAAGTCTTAAAAGGTCAAATAAATCGGATCAAATCATAATGCATTAGAAAGTAAACACATTACGATATTTAAAGACACTTTTTTATTTGGTTGTAATCGATGAAAGTTGAAAATTGAATTATTCTAGTGAATAAAATTTGGTTATCGAATATTTTTTCGGCGGTTCATTTACGGCTATTATACATGCGCAAGGGTGTGGCTATGGATGAAAAGAAGAATCATAACAACATCTACATCCTCAACTCTTTCGATAAATAGTTTTTTCCGTTGAATAAATCAGCGAAATTTATTAAAATTGGTTAAAGTGTCAAAAGTCAAAATTAGTTTTGTGTCTCTTGTAATTAATGCTGAAAAACTTGTATAATTAATTTTTGTTTGATCCCATTTCAGACGTCATTGAAAGGTAACTTAAAACTGTCTTCTTGTCAAAAAAGATTTCAGAGAGATTGCTTATGCTAGAACGAAAAAGCATTTTTAAGGGGGAGAGGGAGCGCTTAAATAGATATTTGATTGAACGTCTAATTACACGGCCAAAAAACTTAAAGACTTTTAAGGAACATTTGTTGATATATTTTATGTTGATTACCTTTCCTTAATTAAACTTAAATATTTGGTATATATGTTGACCATATGGTATCTTTTTTTTTCTAACTATATTTTAGGCATAATGAAAAATAGCATGAAGCATTAAACACAACTTTTTAACACTCTAGAGAAGTCATACTTTCATTAATTATTAATAATTAAATTTTCTTTATTAAATGACTGACAAACAAAGTCTGCTAAATTGTGGTCATAACGTGTAATTAGTTGAAGTACATTCTTCTATTTTCTCATTGTGTGAGACGACATGAGCATCAAAAGTAATTGATCTTCTTTATAATTCATGCTTTTTGAATGTTACTATCCTTGGAATTATTCTTATTTATGGTTTTGAAATCGCTGTTCAGAATTTTAATGATGTTTGTGTAAAATATATTTTTAGGTATCGTTTCTGTTTGCAACACTTGCACCTATTATTCTGATTCTTGCATGTATTGATCGTCTTTTAATTTTTTCTCAAAATGTTGACACACGCTTATATAGTTCAAAACGTTTAGCTTATTTTTCTATTAGTATAAGTACATTATTTTGGTTTCTGTTCTATTTTCATATTCTTATCAAAGTTAATATTCAAGAAATGTATCCTTCTTATTTTATTTGTTTATTGTGATCTGTCGAAAATTTATCTTGATTTTATTTCTTGCTCGACGACAATCATTAATGTTGCTTGTTGTGTTTTATTGATTATTCTGATCGATATTTGCTTTTAAAAATGTTCGTTCTATTCCAACTATTCAACATGGAAGACACAAGGAAATTCGATTAATGAGAAAAAAAAGATTTTTCAATTACTTCGTTGTTTGTTTATTCAAATTATTGTGTTTATTACTTTGAGTATATTGCTTAATACGTATCAGCTCTATCAAGAAATAACAAGACACCAAATTTGAACGCCATGGCAACAAGCCGTCGAGATGTTTTTAGATCGATCTGTTAATTTTGTTTATTAGACTTTTTATTCTTCAAATTTTTTCATTTATTTTGGTACATCAAAAGTATTTCGTTGTGTAGTGACACGTATAGTCTACAGATTATTTAGTAAAGATCTAGCGCAAAAACGAGAAGACGACAATAGACAAGAAAATATTGGAAGAGACAATATAGAATAAAGTATTGTTAGTAATATTTTATTGTCAACTTGATTATCGAATAGGAGAATATTCATAAGAGATGTCACGTTAAAAATTGTTTTCTTTTGACTTTTCTCTTCTTCTAGCTCAAACTTCTCCGGCTTTGGTCGACTTTTTCCATATCTGTTGAATGTTTTTTTCTAAAGAAAGAGATTTGTTGCTCAATTGCTTTTTCTTTTTTTTTCTATTGAATCCCATTTCATTAAGAAAGCGTATGAGAAGAAAAAATGAAATGGGTACCAAAAGCTAACACATATTTGTTGAATTCTATCGAATCTGAATGATTCTCATCAGGTTTCGAAGTTTTCGGATAGTTAAAATTTAATAACAATTCTTCTTAGTGAATATGTATAACACAACAAAAGTGAAACATACATTTTTTCGTGCAAAAAAAAAACAAAACATCTGAGTAATATTCTCACTTCTTGCTTCCATCGTCCTTCATGCATTGTCTCTAGAAGAAATTATTTTATTTTTAAATATTATTCATATGAATCTTAACGAAAAGATATTTTATAATTTCTTTTTATGGTATATTTAGAATTTTCAATAAAAATAAAATCAATTAAGTTAAATTTCGAATAGCTGCATAGGATTAAGATCTAATGTTTGAATTCTAACTATTAGTATATTGTTTATGTACTGATTCACAGCCGCACTAGAAATAATGGTTTTTTTGTGTACATTTAGGATATATTCAGAAGACTTGCCTCTATCTAAGTATGCACTACTATTAATAGTAGTGTAAAACTCAGTGTGGACCAGAACACAAAGATCAGTGCCGATCGGTTGTTGTATTGAATTAGAATCAAACAGTTAAACTGAATTGATACTCAAGCAAAACAGTGGTAGTTTCTGATTCAGTTCCTAGTCCATACTGGATTTTTGAAAAATGGACCAGTATAGCTATATTAGTGTATGTCTATCTGTTTTCAAAAAGAAGTCTACCTTGTTATCTCTAATGGAAAGTATTTCAAATTTTTTCGAGACGAAGAACATTGGAAAATTGATCTATTTTATGTCACAACTTCCACATCCTATAGATCCGAACACAGCGCCCCTTTCTCATGATATTCGATACTTTTTGTAGTACCTACATTGTTGGCCACGTTTCATTAGCACTAATCAGGTTGAAAATAAGTGTTTCTGTAGAATATTCTCTGTTTTCTCACCATTACATTTGAAAAAAAAGAAGATTAATTGAAGAAACCAAAAATTAGCTGTTGTCTGCTGTTATTTCAGGCATTGCAATTTAATATTCATTAAATAAAACTGTAGCTTCTCATTTCCGAGTGTATATCATGGTTACAAATTGATTGAAGATTTCGGTTATTATTCGCAATTAACAACTAAACTGTTTGAACAATCTTGAAAATGTTTTTTAAATTCTTTCGAATACTTTTATCTTGTAATGATTGAAAAATAAAATTGGATAACAATTAAGCATTTTTTTAAATTAAACAATATATTTTGTTTTTTTTAAATCTTTAAAGTTCCTTAAACTCAGTATTGAATAATTCATTTAATTAAAATAATTATTAGTTGTCAATATCTTACCTATTATTATGAAATTTAATTGCTGTTTGAAAAGCTAGCTAACACTTAAACAAAAAATATCTTTTTTAAATAATAATAATAGATTTTATTCAAGTTACAATTATTAATGCAGTTGATCAGAATGTCTACACATAGCCAAGAAAATATTTCTTATGTTGGTCTTTAGTTTAATTAATCTAATTAAAGCTCTTTTTTTCTTAACAAATGATAACAACGAGTATCGAACATCCGGATTGATGAGCCTCGTTCAAAACTGAGTTATTATCTTATTTCAATTGTATCATTAAAATGAAATATTTAAATTAAAAGTTTACTTGGAATCAAGTGTCATAACTGTTCATCAATCATGAATCTTGAATCAATATTGCTACGATTTGCACACAATTGTTCTAATTTGTTGAGTTAGGATATGGCTATTCTTTTCATCCACATCCTTAAGTGATACTTCTTGTTTTTAGAGTTTAGTTGCAAATGTAACAATTTTACTCAAAAGAAGAGAAACACCCATATCCACAATGACATACCTTGAGAGTGTAGCAGTGTGGATGTAGATGAGAATGTGAGTGTAGCTGTTGGTATGCCTCTTGACTCAGTTCACACCTACACCCTTAAATTACCCGTTTCAGTTGCCCTAGAAGTCGTGCAATCCACAGTATCTGAAATTATCCCTGTTTGTATAGAGAAAGCAAATGAATGTGATCGCTTGAAATTTCCAAAGCATATACGTAAATATCTTATTCTCTCACATGAATAATATGGCCAGATTGGGCAGAAAGCACTCCTTACAATAGAACTCTTCTATTTATTATAGGTTTTTTGCATTGGCAACCATCTTGTTCCTCATATAAATGTTAGCTAACTAATATAGAAGAGGAACAATCAAGTAAAAGAAAGAGATATATAGCGAAAAGAAAAGAATAGGATAATGAAGTGGTAAAGAGAGGGATAATACGCGCGTGGAGCCATATAATTACTGGCACCTTCAAATCGATTATATTTTTTTAATACTTCAATCAAATTCTGATGTGAAATAGCTTCCACTCTATGTCCTTTGTATCCTGTCATCGTTTCAGCTGCTATCATTGAATTGATCACTGCTTCTTCAACACACTGAATAGTTGCTTCAAATAATGAACTCATCGCAGAGTTCGATAGAAAGTTTACTGTTTTGGTGGTTGATGTTACATCCAAAACATTAGTTGTAGAAAAAGCCAAGAAAATATCCCCCGATGAATCAGAAGCTCTGCTACCCAATTTACCTATTCCAAGTGACACTCTAGTCGCGAGACGTTTCAATTGATGGGGTAGCAGTGGAGCATTGGTAGCCAATATGGCGATAATCGACCCAGCATCTTTATCTCGAACAGTAGAATTCGTTTCCATTTTTATTAGTTCTTTACCAACAGGGACACCCGCAATAATTAATTGTCCCTTCAGTCCAAAATTTGCTTGTACTAAAACGCCCACTGTATAATTTAATCCTTCGGTTATTCTTGAACTTGTTCCTGTTCCTGCTTTATAATCAAAACAAACCATACCCGTTCCACCTCCCACACTTCCTTCTTGAACAAATGGACCGGACTCTCTGGCATTGTCTAATGCATCAAATACATGTTGTTCTTCCAAATGAAATCCAAAAGCATCATGCAAATCTCCATCCCACGTTTCAGCAACAATAGGTAAAAGCACATCGTCCATGTCGAACATCGTGGTAGAATCATTTTTCTTCAGAAACCATTTAATAATAGAATTTTGAGCAATGCCGACAGAGGTTGTACCTGTAATTAAGACTGGACTAGTAAGAAAGCCAGATTCTGTCAACCAATGTATGCCAGTCATTTCACCATTTCCGTTCAAACTAAACCAATTTGCAAAACAAGGAGATTGCCGAGTAGTAAAATCAGTTCCACGTGGAAATATAGCAGTAACACCCGTCCGAACAGAATCACCTTGGATAATTGTTTTAAAGCCAACTTGAACACCTTCGACATCTGTTATTGCATTGTATTTACCGGGTGTGCCGTCAAATGGAATACCGAGATCTCTAGCACGAAGTTTCCTTAAATCTATGACATACTAACAACGATATATCTCCATTCATATGACATATTGGTGCTGCTTAGCAAAACTCACCTGATTTTCCTACTTCACCCTTCGATTCACATGAAATGAAAACGAATAACAGGAGTAATCGAAATAGTCTAATATTCATTTTTTTTCTTTACCATCAAATATTAAGAACCATAACCTGAATATTCGATAAAATTAGCCATTATATTGTTTGTTGCTTTTCAACAAATTGTATCATACAGCAAAAACAAACAATCAACCTATCAGTACAGCTTCTAATCTGATGAAAATATAGAACTCACGTACTTTACTTTTCTGTTTCTCTTAATATGTAATAATATAATATCAAGTATTTGCTACTTGATATTTCTATCTCATGTACCAAACATATAAAAGCTAATCATCACAATGTCTTTTTCTTCCTATATTCTAATTAAAATAGCCTTAATCCATACTAAAAAGAGACTGCATTTTTTTTAATCAAGCATCATGAAGCAAATCATATTTATTTTAAGTGTTTTGTCTCTAAAAAATCTAACTGTAGGAGTTGTTCACAGAAATCGTTGTACAACATATTCTTGATAAGAGAATGTAACGAACAAAGAAAAACGTTGCTCTGCTCATTTTGCATCGCTGCAATCGTCAGAACACCATTCTGCTCATCATATTCTGATTTGCTCATGAATACTCCTATATGCTTACAAAGATACAGGATGTGACGAGTTCTAGATAGAAGAATGGTTAGTGAAGATGAATTTATACTTTATTTGGCTTCTTCATATCATAAGTCGCTTCTGCATACAATTGTTTCTACCATTTTATATACATAGGCATCAAAACTACGCAAATATCATAAAATAACTATATAAAATGTAATACTACAAGATTAAGACAAAACTTAGAATAAGAGTAAAGTGCATGGTAAGGGCAAACTAGTGGGCAACCCTAACCCTCATCGTTACACAAGACAAAGAATGATTATTTGATTTCTTAACGAGACGAACATGCTGCTCATAAAATATTATGACTTGATATATTAGTTTTTATTCGAACGATTTTATGTGCTCTTTTCCACTATGCCTGTGGTATTGATAAAGTGTCTTTATTACCGCGAAAAGAATCGATTATATACAATCCGAGAGAGAGAGAGAGATACAAGGACAAATATCGATAAAACTTTTATATGGTTCGAATAAAGAAAAAACTCGTGAGAATCTACCTGCCTGTCTACTTGTGTACTTCAAATATTCAAAGAACAATTTGATGTATTTTTTTAATCTTCAAGGGTTTGCTACTCTCTTTAGACGACAGCTAGAAAAGAAAAATTAAAGCATAGCACATTGAAAATGCTGATAAATAAAACTGATAAACTCGTTTAATTTAAGATCTTAGAACAAACTGTGAATTTATCCATAACGGTACATGATGTTGTATATGCTTAAACACTCCACCATTTCGGCACTGTCTATCTGGATTTTCCATTCAATGGCACAATCCATGGATTGGCAGCACAAAGGAATGAAGTTTAGCAATTGATCAAATGTATCAACGAATCTCATACAAGTCAATATAGCCATTCGATCACATTCGATCTTTTCTGATCATGGTTGCGACGAAACAAACTTCATTGGCCCTCATTCAGGTCAAAGATTTATGACGAGAAACGGTCGAATCTAATGGATTTCGGAAGAGGAATTCTTAAATCAGCTTCAGCTGCTAGTTCCGGCTTAGTTTCCATCAAGTTCTAGATTGTGAAGCTATATTCAAATACGATTGTTCATTTCCGCACGATTTTCAACTACGGTTCTTTTTATGCTCAATTGTAGAGTTCGGATCCAGCAACTGAATACGACAACAGGATACAGTCAGTAACCTGCTCTTCTCAACACACGTAATGACATTAGCTTCCATTTCATAAGTCGACGATTCTTGTGAAAAGTAGCTGTTCTTTCCTGCGGATTTTCGTATGTTCTCTCTTGTAAAAAGTACCAAGAAAAATAAACACAAATAAAACATTATAATCCATTAAAAACTGTTAATAAATTGTTCAAAATCATAAGATGACTTACTTATTTTGAACTAGCTATTCTATCAAACAACAATCACTTTTTACACTTTGACAAATCAATTATATATTAATAATACTATATCAGTAACAGCATCCACAACAAAAATGTTCACTATGCGCCAAATGCTTACTTTGAACAGCTGTGAGTAGCTAGGTACACCTTGTAAAGGTACGCACTATCCAAAGAAACATCTCTTCTTACTAGAAAACCAATACAATATCAAAAATCATCGTGCCATAAAAAGCTCCAAACCAATAATGAGTCTTCAGACGACTTGCGCTCTATATATGTAAAACACAGTTGATTCTAATCACAACGCATGTAGCAGCAATATGAATTAAAAACCGATTAGAAGTCATTGTAGCTTTTTTCTCTATTATTTCGAGAGTTTTCTCTGTCAGATACTGTTAAAAAGTTTCTGAAGCCCATATGATCTACATAGCTAAGATACATACATAAAGAGTCAAAATAAAAGTCAATTCGCGATCGTAAGATTCGATCTTTCTAATACATTTTTATTGTTTATTTCAAGCTTCAAACTCATTTATTCAATTCCAATGAAATATTCAACCGTTGTTCTATTTTTTTTTCTATCACTTTTGTTCTCTCTTATAATACTATTTATTTTATTTTATTTTCCATATATGTGTAATAATCATATGCAAAGAGAACAATGATATGTTCTCTATCATTCACTTGGTGTGAATCGATTATATATACTTACTTTCTTTACAAATAACATTGTTTTCTTTTACTTCTACATATCTTCATCTACAGATTATGTAACCGGCATTTGATCAAAATCAAGCCAATATTTTTCTTTTGAATTATTCTGGAATTAGAATTGGACTGGAAATGGCCGATACTGATTTTGAATTCTATTTGAAACCACTCACTTTATGATTAAAAAGTAATTGTCAATTAATCATGGAGATCATTGAATTGGACATATTTAATGTTAAACAAAGCTAGGAGCGTCTTCATTGATGTTTAGAAAATTACTGTTTATATATACTTATAGGTCACTAATGTTAACTGTTTGTTAAAAGGTTAATAAAGCAATGCATTGCTTTGCATGAAAAGGGTTTCGATTTCAAACTGTTTGCTTGTGAGTATAGGAACCAGCTCGATCATTTTTGGAGTTGTATCAAAATCGGCTGGACGAATTTCTTTTGGGATCTGAATCGTCCATTCCTAGTGAGTATAAGTCTTCTCCTTATCAATACGCACCATCCACACCCACTTTCCTACTATAAATATCTTCGTTAAAATCTATATAGAATATCTGAAAACATTATACAATCAAATATTATTAATCAAATGTATTTTAAGTTGAATTCGATTTCAATAAATAGTAGCAAAATGAGGGTGTGAGCGTGAACCTTCTGTATTCCTTACAGCTATATTCACACCCTCAACTAGTTGAATAAGATCGAGATAAGAATAACATCATCATAGATTAAACGACTCCCGTTACTGATTCTTTTTCTTTTTATTGTATAGGTTTTTGAAAAGTGACACTTAAGACTCATAGATTGAATTGTTATAGAACACGTTAAAATAAATGAAAACGAAAATGCCTGCATTCTCTCATTCACCACATGATCCTTTTAAGAGAGGGTCCATGAAAATACCACCAAATTTATATATCATCGGCATTTGACGAATTTTGAAGGTTCGATATTTTGGCACCAAATGAAAGAACATGTTGGAAAACCTGCAAATCCAAAATTTCAGCTCAATCTGAAAGAGCTTTGAAGAGTTATAAAGACAACAATGATCATGAGTCAGGATGGTTTACGTCAAAATATCAATTTTTCCATGTTCGTGGTATTTTGCCGATTTCTCCTCAACGTTACCAGCTGTCGTTTACTGTAATATATCAAAAGATAGAGAATTGTTTTCTCTATCGAACTGTATATATGGCATCCTTTTGAAAGCCTCATGAGGCTAAAAAGAATGAATATACTGAGTATAAACCGATAAAAAAATCGAATTTTCCAGCAGTATTTTGGCTAGGGTGTGGGTGTGACTGTGGTTGTTGTTCTTTTCCTAATCTATACCCACACCCACACGACCCACCCACACGACCCACCCACACCCCACACCCACACCCCACACCCACACCCCACACACCCACATACCCCACACTCACACCCACATCGATCTGAATTTCTTATATTTAAATCGATTTCATTATCGAAATGTCGATCACCATGCATTATTATTTTGATCGACGCTTCTTCTTCTTCTTTCGAACAAATCTGTAGATAACTAAACAAATCAGTTGATTGTACACATTAAAGAATAACAGCGTTACATACATACAATGAAATTAGTTATTCATGGATAGTAGTGACATCTAAGGAATTTAAATCTAAACTAAAAAAAGATCGTTTTTACAGAAACAATTTGTTTTTTGAATTTTTAGTTTTTTTCCTCATCTTTTTTGTTATTTTATAAAAATTTATTCTTATACCTAAATTTAATTCTGGTGTAGTAAAAACTAAGCAGGTTACTTCAGTATTTATATGCAAATAATCATTATGCACCTATGGTTAGAATATATCGTGAACTCGTAGTAAAATTCAAATATTTGAATATGAGGGTCGAGTATTCATCTTGTTATATTGAATTTCGGTGAAGTGCACGTCAGTGTCTTCTAGACGAAAATTCGAAATATTTTCAGTGATTTTTATTGATCAGATAGTTCTTTTCTTTCTCTCTTCCCGCTCCACTCATCTTGGCTTACTTCTATTCTTTTGTTGGTCAACTTATTTAAATAACTAATCACATTCAGTTCTGGATTTTGTTCATTTTTATCATACGTTATAATTTACTTTGGCAATTGGAAAAACAAAACATAAAGATACAATATACCTCGAAATTCTAGATAAAATATTAAACTCAAAGAGAAAGATAGGATGTTGGCTCTTCGTACTGCAGAATTAAATTAGACAGTTTCTTCTATTGGAGAACATTTCATTCCTAAAAGAGTTGCTATAATAAATTTTTGTACCTATTTCTTTGTTACATTCAATAATGAGTCGATACCTCCATTTAGATCATATAGATTAGCTTTTAAGTTCGTTTTCTTAAAATACTATAAGATTTCATCCAAAATACATGAATCTCAACGTTTTCATCGACAATTTATCATGTGTACATCTCGATCTGTTCTAATCTTATCAAAGTTCTTGAAGCATAGTAACAATAGTACTACCTAATTTAGAATATGTTGTTATTTATTAATGTGAATTCGAGGAGGTATTAGGAGTTATATTTATTCAATAAAGTACAGGTAGAGACGAAGAGTATTATTTATATTAATGAATCCGTTCTTTGCTTGTTTCCTTCAAAAAAAAATGATATTATCTTCATGGTCATACGCAAAATCAAAAATCTACATGTGTATATTGCTCGCAAAGCAAAACAAAATTTGTTTGTTCCTCATCAGTATAAAGACCATTAATCGACGTTGAAATGTTCGAATGAATCAAATAAGATGCAGTTTTACTATAATCAATATCCTCATGTTCTTATCTTTTTTAAGATTCATATATACACCATTTAGTAAAGAATAACAATAAAATTACTAAGATTTATGTTTTTTTTTGAATTGAAAAAATTGAAGATGTCTTTTTTTGTTATTAATATTTTTCCTCTTATGCCATACTTTGAGATAGACTGTACAAAATATATGCTTTATTTGAAAAGTAGTAGTTCTACTATTAAATTTATTTTTAACGTTTGATACCAGTGGGAACTAAGAAAATGAAGATATATGAGCAAGTAATGAATATTCTTAGTCATCAGTCTTGACTTAAAATGAAACCAAGTATTTGCTTGATTTCTTAAACGGACGTATTCAATGATTTTTGATGAAAATAATTATGATAATATCGATATTTCGAAATTTCTTTAGTCTCATTCATTAATGATATATTGAACCAATGGAGAATGTTATATTTATTGGCAAGTGGTAAAATGATGTATTTTATAAGTCAGACTAAGAAAAGTTGAAGATACATTTTAGCAGATAGTTGCATATTTCGTATATGATCAAAAAGAAGTGTATACCTCAAAAACAAGTAGGCACATAGGTACGAGCGTGATCATGTTATCTTATGTTCGAGTAGATGAAGCGTGACTATAGAGCATAAACATTCCTTTCATGTATTAATTCAAATAGCAAGCTCCGCATTGTGAAACAAAAGATGTTGATTATTTCTGAAATATTCATACTTTCCAGTACTACAAAATAGATAGTTCATACGTTATTATGCTGCAGTGTGAACATCGGTAAAGTAGAAGAAAGTTGATCTTTTGCTTTAAAACATCGAATTTTTTCGGCATTTTTCATGATATATTTATATATATATATTTCAAATTGGTGTATGCAATCAAATGTTGTCATCTGTTTTTTTTCACATTCTTCATGACCTTCTTTTCTTCATTAAAAATTCGATGCAAAGAGTAATATCGTGCGGAAAAAGAATATTAAAAACTAATTGCTTGCTTTTCTTCAATCATCTCATATTTTTCTTCTGTAGCTATCAACAAAAAATATGAGTATGTTTGATGAAACTTGTCTGATATTTTGATAAAATATGCAATCATGCATGGACAACTACGTCACACGCATATTTATTAGCACGCGAAAAAAAAACACTAACATTCACACTTTTAACTTTTTCACCATCATCAACACATCATTTACATAAGTAAAAAATAGAAAATGGCTGACGATTGGGATGCATATGGAAGTTCAAACCAAGGTACTTTTCATTACAGTGTATCATTCTCAAATGATGATACCTTAGAAAACATATCTTTCTTCTAGCTCAGGGCAGTTCGATGTCACGAATCCCAGGACGTCGACCAAGACCTGACCGCAATATTCAAATCTGTCCACCCGGCCCCGGCGGTGATCCTCAAATATGTCCACCAGGACCTGGCGGCAATATTCAAATCTGTCCGCCTGGACCCGGTGGTGATCCTCAAATATGTCCACCAGGACCTGGCGGCAATATTCAAATCTGTCCACCCGGACCCGGCGGTAATCCTCAAATATGTCCACCAGGACCTGGCGGCAATATTCAAATCTGTCCGCC